GTTGTCTGCGATGACTTCTTGTTTAACGATGAAAGAATGAAATGAACTCAAACTAGTCCCTGGAGAAAATGGTTTGGCTTTGGGATATGACTTCGTTTTTTTTTTTTTTTTAACAGATAAAGTCGTTGAATGACTCGTTGAATTTACTTACAGACTATAGCGCCGCTGACAATATACCTAGGGCGTAGTTCCCCACGCTATGTACGTTGCCTGGGCTTTGTTTGTAGTTTGCTAAGTTCAGTTTTTAGCTAGGGAGTTTGAGTCTGTAGGAAGCAATAGCTTTGGATTGTCGCCGGATAGATCCTCGCACGTAAATCGTGGTTTACAAGAATACAAGGACCGGAGTCTGGACGCATACAAGTTGTTGCACTGTGGTTGGCTGTTGCCTCTGCCCTTATGGCAGAGGGTATGCCTGTCACTGCTTGTCTCTTAGAGATGGCTTTAATGTTCTGACTAAGAAATGGCATGCAAAAGTAAGGCAAGAAGAGAGAGAGATTGGTGGTGGAAATGAAGAAATTAGAGGAGTTGAAAAACTGGAAGGGGAGAAAAAAAAGACAACGGAGATGTGGGAAAGAGCCATGGAGAAGTTAAACGTGACCAAAAAGAGGCACGGCGAAACAGAAAAGAGTGAGGGGAAGAGGAGAAAAAAACAAGACGATCAGGGGGAGAAGCAATAGAGTTATGAGATAAAAGGGACAGACTGTGTAAAGTGAAGGAGAAAGGACAATCCAAGAAAGAAAGGGAGGCCCAGAGAACTTAAAAGAACAGTTCACGATACAAATGCAAGCTCAAAATGAGCGGAAGAAATTTTTTCAGCAACAAATGTGCCAACAGTAGAATCAGCAACGACAACAATTTGCAATATTACAGAATCAAATAAGGCAAATTTTGTCCCATCAGGTATACGCATTCCAACAACTTTCTAAGACAGATTAAGCAAGGCCAATTCTCAAAGTAATTTTACTTAACCTGTGTAATAATGTTGCTGCTGGATAGTAACTTTTATCTTCTTTTAAGAAAAAAAAAAAGCTTTTAGTGAACTTCAATTTAACATTTATAAAGGAATTACACTCGTGTAGGAATGCATTATTATCTGAGTGTATGAGTTTTGTACATGAAACAACATTTTAAATGAAATGTATCCTGTTTATTAGAGAAAGTGTAAAGGCTAATTAAATTTATTAAAGAAAAATTTTGGTCAGGCCATAGTAAATTTTAAAAGGAATATGAATAAAAATAGAAAATGACAATTTTGAAAAATCAACTTCAAAATAATTTTAGGAGTGTCTATGCTACATGATTAAACTGTTCTGAAACTACTTTCTCAAAAATGGAAGCTATGAAGATTGTTATGTTATGTTTACCAGAAGTAAAAAAGTAATCGATATACTAAGCGCCCTTGATACAGTGGTAGAACACATTACCTAAGGGCTAGGGTTTATATACTTTTGAGCTGTGAAAATTACATGACTTTTCAAGAAATTCCATGACCTAAGTCAGCAAGTGTATTGATTGGTTCATTCCAAATGGCACAAAATTTGGATGTCACTCAAGACTGCGAAAAATGTAAAATTACAAAAATGGGTGATTTTACCAAATTCTTCAAATCTTGAAAATATCACACAAAACAGTGCCACAAATTATTGCACTTTCTGTGCAAAAGAAAATTATATGTATCAATGTGCAAGTCATTACTAATACAATTTTTTTTTCCAATTTTTAACCCACCCCCACCAGTATGTGCGACCCTTCATTGGCCTAAGTGTGAAAATTTACCGCTACATTTTTACTGAATTGGAGCACAACCGCTTGCAAGTGATCCAAGATTTCAGGACTCAGTTCACTTTTAATTGAGTAAGGCCTTTGACAATGTTAAGGATTTTCTTTAGTACATTTCTTTTACCCCATACAGGATAAAAACTCTGTCTATGTGATTCTTTTGAATTTGCAAAAAAAATTGCAGCATGTTGAAGTTTAACGTAGTAAATCAAAAGTAAATGAAATATCACGAAGATAACCTACTGTATTATTCTTGTTGTTTGTCGTTGTTTGTCGTTGCTTGAAGTCAGAGATGAACAATTTGAGAATAGCTCAGGTTTGGACTTTTTTTTCAATCAGCAGCGATGATAAGACAAGAAATTCATGCTTAAACCACAAAAGAAAATGACAATCAGTTCTATCTCGACACAGCTTTCTACTTCTATTAATTTTGAAGAGGCCAGCTACACCTGGCGAAAATAAATACGACACAACATGCAACTTGTATGCGTCCAGACTCCGGTCCTTCTATTCTTGCGAGGATCTATTCGGCGACGATTCAAAGCTATTATTTCTTATAGGATAGCCTCAAACTCCTTAGCTAAAAACTAAACTTGGCAAACTACAAACGAAGCCCAAGGTAAATTGTCAGCAGCGCTGTAGTATGTAAGTAAATTCAACGAATCTTACAACGACTTGATCTGTTGAGAAAAAAAAGGAAAAGAAAAAAAAAACAGAAACGAAGTCATATCCGAAAGCCAAACCGTTTACACCGGAGATAAGTTTGAGTTCATTTCATTCTTTCATCGTTGAACAAGAAGTTATCGCAAACAGCTCCGTCGTTGGGTCGCTTGGTTTCTGCATGGCCTCATGTTAATATCTAGCGCTTGTTGCGTGACTCTCAAAGATAATTTCGTTTTCCTTAATGCTGTCTGTGAAACCGAGCATTTGGGATAGCGATCCATAAAGAGCCGAGCTGAGTTTATTCAAGAACAAGTATGTTACGTTGACGTCTCGTCACAACGACTGTTAAGTCTATCTGAAAGACATCGGGGCCACGTTCTCGACCCAGTTTCTTACTGGTCTTTTGCTGTGCGCGCCGTGGTCAACTGACGTTCCCGTCCCCTTGCTAAATCAACCAAATGTTTTCGGGGATATGATAAACGCCATAGAATTCAATTGCGAAGTGCACAAAAGATGTTACTAAGCTTGACGGAACCTTTTTCAAAAGTAAGATGTGAAGATTTTGCTGATTGATTTAAATTAACCTGTTAAAACTGCCTGTTTACCTTGATATGAGTAATCAACACAATTGCAAAATAACATGTGCAATTCTTTCTTATTTACAGAATGTACAACAGAGTTCGACAGCACCTGATGAGCAATTATACAAACACGTTTGTTCGCGTCAGGCTTAGGGAACATTTTTGAATACAACAATGCTCTCGATTTCGTCCCGGCGATTATTCAGCGATATTCACTTGACCTAACGCTGATGTAAAGGCACATGCGCGTGCGGATTATGCTTTCCATTGCATCACAATTACTGGTAACTATTTCCTTGAGTCCACAGTATGACGGACGAAACTAATCAAGACGATGAAGTTTCTTTTTAAGACGTTTACACAGATCATTGTTCTTGGTTTGTGTAAAGGTGAGAAAAAGCCTTCTTACTTACCTGTAAGTTAGTGTAAACAGTGTAACCTTAGAAATAGTATCACCACTTTTCAATTGCAGACAGAACATAAATTACTACTAGTGAACGCAATGAATGCTGTTTCAGAGAGATGAAAACTGCATTATGTAATTATCTCCTTACCAATTTAAAGGATGCGAGACGTCTTATTTATTTTAGGCCAGTTTGTCTAATCATCCTGGGACTTTTACGAAGAGACTTTACTTACGCTACGAATCATCATTTTACATGCTGTGCAGTTTATTTTTATTTGAATAAATGACTTTAAGTGAGAGTCGGATATTCTTCATTTGCTCTGTGCTCGAGAAATTACCGACCATTGTGAGCACTCATTTCTTATGTTTAAAAAAAATAATAATAACAACAATAAGAATAACAAAATACCCAGGAAACTACAAGGAAACTACAAGGAATCTACCCCCTAACGGAAAGGCTTCTGGCATGTACGTTGCAAATTACCCCTTCCCCACCCCTCACTTCTATTTCGATGGTCACTCTTTGTAATGCGCCTGTACAATATTCGCCTGAATGTGAGAGACAGTTAATACTACTTACTATGGCTTATAAAGGGCAGAGTCCACAGCATAAGCCATTAAGGCCCGACCAAACGCACGCAACATTTCAAAGCAACATCTTGCAACACTGTTGCACGCAACGTGTTGTACACGTAGGGCACCCCATCACATCCCGTGTAACAACATGTAGCATGTTGGATAGTGTTGGATCAAGTTTAAAAATAGTCAAATATTTGTTCCTACATTTTTGGATGTTGCAAGATGTTGCACACGTTTGTACAGCTCCTTCACAACATCTTACACGTGTTGCATTAAAATGTTGCGTGCATTTGACCTTTAGACCGTCTTTTCGCTTTAGCTAATAAACCCTACTAATATTAAGCATTTTTAAGCTTCACCATGCCCCTTAGTAAATCGGGTAAGTACTACTAGGCCTGGATTCAGGAAGTTGACTTTATCAAGAACGCTTAGTGTGAAACCAGAGTTGTGTTGATCTTGGCAACAAAAAGGCATTTTACGGAAGGCTAGAGGGTACCTTAAACTCGTCAATTGCCGAAATCGTCGATTGGGCAGCTTCGAACAAACTTCCAATTAATGAAGGCAAAACTAAGGCTCATCAATGACAAGCGTCTTCCCTCTAAGATCAATGAAAAAATGACTCTGACTATTAAAGGAAATGAGCTCGAACTCGTTACTAGTGCTAAACTGCTAGGTCTCGAAATTGACTCTGAACTCTTATTTATTTCCCATGTAGAGAAACTTTGTAAAAAGTTGTCTCAGAGAATTGGCGTACTCAAAAAGATAAGAACTTGTCTGCCCATGAAACAAAGGCTGTTGTGGTATATCTGCAATACCTTATGTCAGTTCAATTTGGACTGGTTGTGATAAGGAGAATTTAGGCCGTGTTTTTAAGCTACAAAAAAAAGCAGCAAGGGTAATTTCCGACGCTAACAACCAGGCGTCTAGTGTTACGCGTTTTAATAGTCTACAGTGGATTCTTTTTTAGGAAGAAGTGAAAATAGTTAAATGTTGTGTGGCATACAAACGCATCAAGGGTGTATTTCCCTTATACATCGAAGACTACTTAAGACACAACAGTCAGCAACATAGTCGTGTGACTAGATATAGTAATACAAACTTTATTTGCCCAACATTTAATCGGCTGACCGAAGGCAGCAGGACGTTCGCAGTAACTACTTGTCAAATTTTGAACGGCTTAAGCCTATAATCACGCAGTAATCACTAGAATCCTTTAAGAATAAATATCGAAACATATTCGTCAAAGAGCAGCAGGAATTACACCATTTCATAGTTTAATCACATTTTGTATATATTTCTCTAGCGATATCATCAGCTTTTATACATATTTATATTGATAAAGAACTTCTATATTTCCTTAGTTTTATTTATTTTGTACTTTGAGTTTGTATATTCGGAAATTGTTGTTGTAATTTCAATTATAGATAGAGGGCCGCAAGTTTAATAGTTTCTGTAATTATTCCGTGCTACCCTCTTAAAACAAAGTGTACTATTATCTTTGATTTTCCACCACAGATAGCAATTAGTATTAAAAGGCTCTTTGGCAAAGTCCTTACCACCGGCACTTAATTCAAAACAACCGATTAAAACAAGAAGAGAGATATTTTTGCACTACGCAAACAAAAAAAAATATCCCTTTCAGGATTAAGAGCGAAGGTCTTAGACAAAGCATTTCTAAGACCAAAAATCCAGCCACATATATTTTTTTTCGTTTTCTTCAATACAGGGAATTATATTTGGCCAATCGATGACTCCCCTGAGGTCTGCGTTGGCCGCAATACTTCCCTTGAGACAGAGATTTCTAGCGAAATTCCTCACTATACAATGATGTGGAAACACTATACCAAACCCATCACAACAACTGAGCATTATACTATGAAAAGAGCAACTCTGTATATATATAACGCCTTACCTATTCACTCTGGAATGTACCGTGCTATTCTCTTTAGTAAGGAAGATTTCAAGAATTTGGGTACCGCCACGTTTCATCTAAAAGTTTTTGGTAAGATCAGTGTTACTTAAATTGTATGTTTAAAAACGTTTTTCAAAGAAAGCATCGCAAAAGAGCTTTGTTGCGCTTTAACAGAGACTCAGTCTAACTGTCATCTCGACCCTAAGCTCCCTCTTCCTCCCGTCCATTTATCTCTCCTTCCTTCAATCTTTCTCTCCCTCCCTCCTTCCCTCATTCCTTGCTACCTTGCTTGCTTCTTTCCCTCAATCCTCGCCACCTCCTTTCTTATTAGGCCTTTTTTATGCTCTTTTCCTTACTACTCATTTCCCTACTCTTTTCCATTAGCCCTCCTGTCGACAATATCGTAAATTCTTCCTAAGAAAAAATCATGATTTGGGGCTGTCCCATCCGGAACATGATTTAAACGTCAGCGATCAGTTTACCAATGGTGTGTACGTTCGTTATCTAAAGCACACCACCATTCATAGACGACGATATGAAAAGTACTTATCCTTCTTGCAGATGTACACCTAAACGTTCTGGTCGAGAGCCCTGTTATTATAGAGCGTGGAGGCATAGCCATATTGAAAGTTAACAAATCCCAGGAGGGAGATTTACTATGGATGCATGGTGAAGAAATGGTGCAAGGGTCTGAACCGCACTACACCTTTGCGAATTCCAGTAAAACTGAGCTGGAAATTTATGACGCAGGCCCGGAGCAGGCAGGAATTTACGAAGTTTTAATCAAAAAAGGCAAATGTCAGATACTTAAAGAAATCGAAGTGCGGATATTAGGTTTGCATTACTGTTCTTGTCTTTGGTCTGAGACGGTTTTAAAGGTTGTCTTTCTCGATATATGTTTTATCAATCATGCAGGTGGTTGGAAGAGTATCAGTTCTTGTGGGACAGGAGATAAAGTGGCCTGATTGGTCGAGTTTAGTTATTGGCCTTTGGATCACCTAAGTCGTGTGACTGGTTTATAACTTTAAAAATTTTACTCAATTTGTACTTCGGACTGGCCAACCATCGTCTCTTCAGTGTGGTGATCATACTACAATAGAATCCGCTTTCTAGTATCACTAAGACTTAATTTCACTGGACATCTCGAAAAATGGCAATGATACTACTTCACACAAAATCACATCCCAAATGAGCCATTGACAGAGGGTCTCAGTGGCCAGTGATGGCTTTTACGGCTAACGGTTAAATTTTTGCCCATTTTTATTTTTCTATTGGTTGAATTCATTCCGTTAAAGTTAACAGAAACAATTTTACGGTGAACTTTTTCCAAGATTAATAATGGTAATAGGACCGATTGGAGTCCAATTCGGTCTGTAATCATACGAGTGATTAACAAAATTGGACGACCGCGAAGTGGGGATCCTGTCAATCACGAGTATGATTACAGACGGTATTGGACGACAAGAAGTCCTGTTATCAATTTCCGAAAGCAACAAATACGTTTAGGTCAAATATCTCAGGTGGAGATAATGTCTAAAGTAAAAAATTTCCCATTTTGGAAATTCCACAATGAGTAGTTGTTGCTATGGTTATTGTGATTAATTCTGTGATTGGTGGATTTGGCTAAGAGGACTAAGTATGACTGGCTATTTCAACTGTCCGCTTACGGTTGTCTTATTAAGGCCAACTGTCCGATTACAGAATGATGAGTGAAAAATAAAGCAGCGAATGCACCAATCACTTTTCAGGAAATTTTCAATGGTTATGATTAATAGTTAAAAATTGAAAATTTTTACGCCTAACGGCTAACATTTTTTTGCCGTTTTACGACTAACAGTTAACCCATTGAGACCCTCTTGGTAGTATAAAAGCATGTACAATATTGAATATAAGTGAAACACTCGCTCCTTTCAATGACAAAAGTGAAAAATCCACGCGGAAATAAATGTCTAGGGCTACTCGTTTTAAATGTTTTAAAAATGTCATACTATCACTGCAGGAAAGTTCGTCGACATTTGGCCGATCAGCCGTTTTAACGACGCCTGTGTTGGTGATAAGGTTTCCTTTAAAAATGACATTGTCGGCGATTTTTATGGCTTTAAACTTCTTTGGACACATGGCTCCAAACTCATTGTGCAGGAAAATGAAAATTATTCCCTGAAGAAAAATCACACAGTGTTGGATGTACATAACATTTTACCTTCCCTCGCTGGAGACTACTACGCCTACGTTGTTACAAAACAGGATCAGTCAGTTGAGGACATGTTTGATTATTCTTCATTTCATCTGAGAGTTCACGGTAAGATTTGACTATATAGACATATTCCGCGCTTTTTTCTTAAACGCACCGCAGAAGGCTTTATGTCATGCTTATTGAATGACCTAGCGTCAGTCAAAGTAAATACTCTGTCATCTCCTCTCCAGGCATCTCCCTCACTCTTTCCCTCACTCTTTCTTGGATCTTTCTTGCAGATGTCGACTTGAAGACTCTCGTCGAGAGTCCCGTTGTGATGAAGCTTGGTAATAAAGCCACCTTGAAAGTCGAGAAATCAGAGTTGGGCACGTTGGTCTGGACACATGATGGAGAACTCGTTGATGGCAAGAAC